GACAGAGCTGTCCAGCCCGAGGCCGGCCCGGGATTGGCACCTGGCGCGCGCGTGTGTGCGTGCGTGTGTATGTGTGTGCGCGCGTGCGTGTGCTGTGCGCCTTATTTTTTGTTAGGGTTTGAAGAACCACATTCGGTTCTTTACCATTTTTTTTTTAATTTGGCGTTTTCAAAATTGGCTTATTAGAGAGTGGAGACACCGTGTGATCTTTCATGCAACTGCTTCCCTCCCCAGCCTCGAGCAGCCTAAATTCTTCCTCCTTTCTCTGCTCTCCTCCTCCCCAACCCGCCTATTGCCTGCCTCATTGCTCTGTGCTCCCCCATGCTGGACCAGTCTGTGTTGATGTGCTTGCAAGGTCACTTCCTGGGGAGGAGGAGGAGGAGGTGAGAGGGCCTCTTGTGCTCACGTCAGCAAAGATGTCATATCGCTCTCCGGTTCCTGTGGTTTTACTATGACATTTTACCCCCGAAGAGGGACAAATCCAAAGGGTTGGTTAACGAGGCCATTTGCGGAAAAGACCTCAATAACCTAAAGAAAGGTCTGTGGGTCCCAAATCTGCGTCTGGATGGAGTGGAAGGTGATGTAGGCCTTCAGCAGATAGGTATGCATTTTGAGCTTGATGCCTTTGGAATATAGGACCTAGGAACCAGGGGCTCCCTGTTAGTAAATGTGGTTGAGGCAGGAGGCAGAGTCTGAGCTTGGGTGGACATGAAGACAGTGAGTGAGTTATAGGTGGTGGTAGAGGATTTGTGAGGAGGGGTGAGAATGGGAAGAAAAGCCTTTGTTATCTCTGCAGTCTGAATAACCAAAAGCAGTGGCTGTTGATGAGATAGGAATCTATCCTATTGCTAGGAACTAGAATAGTCACAAGAGTCCTTGTGGGAGGGAGATGAGCACTGTAGAGTGTAATCACTTGCTTTTAATCACATGCTTCTCAATGGCAAGGGGCTGGGATCCCACTAATGCTAGATGCCTAGTATTTTAGTAGAAAATGCTTCAGGTGTGATCTTTGAGATTTGGGCAGGAAAGGGTTCCTAGTTTTTAATGTAAATATAGATTTCAAGGCCTAGCCTTGAGATCTGGTCCTATAAATTCTGTTTTATTTTAAGACACAGCAGGTCCTCAAATAATGTCATTTTGCTCAACATTGTTTAGTTATAACGTTGATGAGGTGCCATAGGAACTTAACTCTTGTTTATGTCAATTAGCCTATGGCAAAATTGGTTTTGTTATATACTGTTTCACTTAAAGTTGCAGAACCTGATGGCATTAAGTGAAGACTTACTATACTTTGGCTCTCACCCTAGGCATTATCCACATAATTCTTCTAGAATGAATTATGCTTTTACACATCTCCCATTTCATTTCTGTTCCTCTCCCCTTCTCATTCTGGTTGGGAGGAGCTCAGTTAAGCTGTGTAACAGTGCCCCACCTTCTGCAGTATGCTCATGGCTCCATAGCAGAGGAGAGAACCAGAGGACTTTCTGGGTTGCAGTGATGCCTAGAAATGAGTGTATGGCGTGCTTGGAAACTTGGTTATGGTTGTGTGGAAAGGAGATAGCTCTGTCAAACTCCAGAATTAGGACAAAGTGCAAACCAAAGAAGATAACAATAATTAGCAGGTGCTGTCAGAGGAAGAGGTGTCTCCAAATTCAAGGAGAGTGAATTGTATGGGCCCTGGCCGATGCTGGAGTAGCAGCTGCTAGCACTGTGAGGTCACCAGGCAGGGGAGGGGCTGTGGCTCTGCTATAAATAGTACTGGGAGTCAGTCACTATGGAGATAAAACTGAATCCTATTACCTGCTGGTCCTCTATTGGGAGCAAGGGAAAGGAGGGAGCAATATTTTGAGGATTTGAGAGATGTTGCAAATAGGTCTCTTTTTTTAAAAAAAATTATTTTTTAAAAATAAACTTTTATTTATTTTAAAAATATATTTTTATTGATTTCAGAGAGGAGGGGAGAGGGAGCGAGAGGGAGAAACATCAATGATGAGTGAGAATCATTGAACAACTGCCTCCTGCACGCCCCCTACTGGGGATCAAGCCCACAACAGACCATGTGCCCTTGACCAGAATCAAGCCCAGGACCCTTCAGTCCACAGGCCAACGCTCTATCCACTGAGCCAAAACAGCTAGGGTGGTCTCTTTTATTATTAAGTAAGGGGGGGAGGTAGAACTTCTCATTATCTGTATCAAGAGTACCTTAAGCATACAGGAAGTGTGGATGTCTGTGTGTATAGTAGTGCATGCAGCCGCAAAACGGGGACTGGTGTGTGAGTGTGTGTAGTGTAATGAGATTCTCTGTGTGTAGTGAACAAGGTCCTAGCGTGGCTATGTACAGAGCACAGAGGTGGAATTCTGAAAGCACTGGAAATAATCTTGAGGTAGAGTTAAACATTTTATTACAGAAGTGTATGGAGAATCAGCAGGAAATTAATTATAATTAAGACCCTGTAAGCTTTTCCTGACTTTTGGACTATGGTTTAGAAATTCCTTTGAGCACCTCTCCCTGTCCTTGCAGAAATCCTGTTATTTCTGCATCTAATTCCTAGTCTCTGTAAGATGTAGGACAAGGCCTCATCTGTGTGTATTGTATTACTGATTCCAGTCCTTGGACCAAAATAGAGTAGAAAGACTATGATTCAGCACCAAGGGCAGAGCCAGTAGCAATAGCCACTGGGTCCCTTTTTTGCTTGAAGAGGGAAGAAAACTGATCTAGACAAGGAATTGGAACATAGATATTCTTCATTTGAAATTGCACAGTGTAGAATACCCAGCTTTTGTTATTGTCTGAGGACAATTAACTATACACTATATATACTAGTTTCATATCAAGCTGAATGCAGAATATTGGAACAGAATAAATGGATTTCCATCTAGAGCAGCGGTTCTCAACCTGTGGGTCGCGACCCCCTTTCACAGGGGTCGCCTAAGACCATCGGAAAACACATATATAATTACATATTGTTTTTGTGATTAATCACTATGCTTTAATTATGTTCAATTTGTAACAATGAAATTGTGGGTCACCACAACATGAGGAACTGTATTAAAGGGTCGAGGCATTAGGAAGGTTGAGAACCACTGATCTAGAGCTCGGAGTACAGAGGAGTGCTGATTAGAGAGTCTGGTTTGATCCTGGATCCCCCCTGGAGCAGTCCTGAAAATGAGTTAATTTTTGTTACCATAATGATTGAGTCCAGATTAGACTAACTGGTTCTGTTTTTCAAAAACAGAGAGCCAGGGGCAAGGCTGAGAATGAACTTGTTTGTAGGGATGGGGAGATGGGCCATTATTTATCCTTCTCATTTGA